CAAACCACTTCCGAAAAACAGTTGCCTTGAAAACTGCAAGGACTTGTCCAAGCAGTCACTGAAGGGTCAGCAATGACTGAGCGCAGACAAAAACAAGTAACCGGATCTAGCCTTTCTTTTCGGATTAAGCAAACGTGACGGAAAGGAGATACAGGGAAAAGCAGACACACCTTTTCAATATATCTAAGCTGTCTTCACTTTCAGTAATGTAGTACTGCAAGGAATTTCGTTTCTCTTGATAATTGTGCATTACTTCAATCTGGGGAGAAGAGATAGAAATAAACTGAGCGACGGCTATCGAAATTAAAATGAATGAATGAATGAATGAATGAACGAATGACTCGTTTTTAAGATTGTCTTTGCATTACACAGAATCCTGTCCCTAAGGGCTTGCAACCAACAGTGCATGTGGGAGAGAAAGCAGGAAAAGGAAAGAGAAATTGAGAGAGGTGAACCAGGAACCAACTATTTTGGAACCTGCCCCAGTCCTTAAACGTGTTTTCCTTTCTGTAGAAGGAGAACAGAAGCTTCCTGGTTTAAATTCACTACCATCTCATCCAGGCAAAAATCACAACTGGTTTAAATTACAATCCGTTGAAATGAGATTAAACAGTGATTTCCAGTTCTGACTCTTGGTATAAATTACAGCTTAGCTTAACAGCAGTTCCCAGTTCAGACATAATAACAAAATCCGATCAGTTTAAAGCAGGAATTCTCCCCAGCTCTACTTCGTCCACGAGAAAGGAGATGAAAGAGTAGTGCTGAGACTGTCTCTTATCTTGGTTTATCTGTTTGTGGTTAAATTATACTTAATCCCTCAACCCACATTAAGGATGGATTTATGGGAAGTGCTACCAATGAGAACGCTTGCCAAGTCATTCTCTCAGTGCTGAGAAGTGGGGCCATACCCAAATAAGACAGCAATATTAGTAAGCTTGTGGAACTTCAAAACTGGGAAAAATGCAATGAAATTTTGCTGGAGAAAGGCAGAAGAAGAACGCAAACCAAGATGAAACAGACTGAGGCTTAGTGGCAGTGGAAGAGGAGGGAGACCACAGCAGGACGTGCTAGTTCACCCGCTCAAAATCATCAGCCCACACCGCAAAATGTTGTGGCAGCTTCCCAGGGCATTTCATGGGTTTTTAAATGTGTTTCCTACCTTGCGGGAGTTCGGAGACTTCCTTGACGTTTTCTTGCCAGGCAGCGAGATATCAAAGGAAAATTTCAAACTGGAATTGAAATCCACACCTTGGACATAAAAATATGGATCATTCCTCATTCAACGACTCTCTTTTGGTAAAGTGGGGTATATTCGACCACTGCGGGAGGGCAGGGCAACCCCTCCCCATCCCAAGGGAACATTTAAAGAAGGGAGGAAAGTCACCCAGAAGGGGGGTGAATTAGTTGAAGGTTTAAATAAAAAGACCAGGAAAAAAGCAAACTATTTGAAATGAATGAATGAATGAATGACTATATGTATGTATGTATGTATGTGTGCGTGTGTGTGTCTGTCCGTCCATCCATCCATCCATCCATCCATCCATCTCCCCCTTGGGAGAAATTATGTGGTTGCTATGAGTCAACACTGACATGATGTCTGTCTGTCCGTCTGTCCGTCCATCTGTCCATCCATCCATCCATCCATCCATCCATCTCCCCCTTGGGAGAAATTATGTGGTTGCTATGAGTCAACACTGACATGATGTCTGTCTGTCCGTCTGTCCGTCCATCTGTCCATCCATCCATCCATCCATCCATCCATCCATCTCCCCCTTGGGAGAAATTATGTGGTTGCTATGAGTCAACACTGACATGATGTCTGTCTGTCCGTCTGTCCGTCCATCTGTCCATCCATCCATCCATCCATCCATCCATCCATCTCCCCCTTGGGAGAAATTATGTGGTTGCTATGAGTCAACACTGACATGATGTCTGTCTGTCCGTCTGTCCGTCCATCTGTCCATCCATCCATCCATCCATCCATCCATCCATCTCCCCCTTGGGAGAAATTATGTGGTTGCTATGAGTCAACACTGACATGATGTCTGTCTGTCCGTCTGTCCGTCCCTCTTTCCATCCATCCATCCAACCATCCATCCATCCATCCATCCATCCATCCATCTCCCCCTTGGGAGAAATTATG